GACAAAAAAAACGAGCACAAATAGGCGATCGGCGGGCTATGGACCCGCTGATCGCCTATATGTGAAACACCCGGTACCGGGTGTTCGCATTGGACGGGTCTTTTCTGCCCGTGCGTGCCCGCTAGGGGGCACGCGCGAGCAGAAAAAAAATGCAACAGTGCCGCGAATGCGACAGTGCCGTCCGTCCGTTTTTCTACTACGGGCGGACGGCAACTGGTTAAAGTGCTTCTGTCCCATGTGGAGCAAGATCATAGTATCATAGAACATTTAAAAAAAATATATGAATCTCTTTTATGTTTTACATAATAGCAATGGAAATCAGCAGTGTTTGCACCATTGAATTACTTACATTTCTGACATAACAGCAGAACTCTGCTGCAGAAATCTGCATGAATTCTTGAGCTTTCAACAGTACCATGTGGTTGGAAACTTTAAAAAAAAGAATCTAAGTATTGTTGCTCAGTCAGAATTTTGCTTCAAATCACTCAGTGAATCTGGACACTAATAAGCTTGTTGATAAGATTTTTTTACACTTTTTTACATTTTATATTCCTTGCAAACTACACACTTAGGCATGGCACTAGGGCCACTACATGGCACTGAGGAGCACAGACATTTTTTATGTTCCTTAGTGCCATGCAAAAATGCTGAGCGGAACATTTATAAATCAGCCACTGAAAGTATAGCTAAAGTCTTTATTTGCTGTCTCTGTCTCATTTGGGAGAATTACCTTTACTTCTTGTACTTCCTGTCCCACAGACACAATAGGAAGTAAGAAGATATCTCTCCAAAATAATGGAAATCAATGACATAATCTCCACATTGGAGATTTTTCAACTCTATTTCTTTTCTGGTGACAACTCAAGCGTTTGGATTTTCCCTTCTTTTCAGTCTTGGTGGCATTAGTCACTAGGACAAATAGAGAGGGTAAATCTCTCCACTAAAGGCACAGACAGCAAAGCAAACCTGGCATACATCCTAGCCCTTGTCCACTCTACCCAAAACGTGCACAAATCTTTAGATACACATGAATTGTGTAGGTTCAGTTTCCCCAGTAAAGTCCACCTCCATAGTTAGGCAGCTTTACACACTCAAAAAATAAATAGGCCCACGCTTGGCCATGAATCACCAATTCTTGTGAATCAGAGTTTGGGAAGGATTAATAAGCAAAGTATAGCATTGCTTTTATGCAGCTGCATGTATACTCAGTAATCATCTCTACCTAGTAGAGATGAGTGTACTGATTTGTGCAAACCAAATCATTCCAATTAAATCTTTGCAAATATACATAAAATGTTACTGAAAACAATTGTTTCGTGTAACCTTTTGCAGGCTGTTTCATGTAACAGTTCACCACTGTTGATTCTCCTGTGTGAGCAGACCCAACCCCAATATAAAACTATTGCAAAACCACACCATTTTCCTATTTTCTCAACATTTAATTTGGCCCTGGACACAACTTTGTAGTTCTACTTAATGCAATTTTTACAGATAGCTATAGTGGGTTGATGGAATATGTTAATATCAGAGTTAGAGAGCAAAGGTGAAAGTCATAAATGTATACATGAGTGCTCACATGACCGGTAGAAGAGGAGCAGTATGTTGAGATCAGTCAGTATCTCATGATGAAGAATTCTGAACATGGCTTCAGTTAGACAACAGGCCTAGAGGTTATAGTCTTATTTCCCTCAGCTCCTCCAACCTTGTAGAGCAGGGGTGGGCACCTCTGACCCTCCATCTGTGGTTTAACTACAAATCCCAACATACCTCTGTGAGTCATGACTGTAACTGTCAGTCTTGCAATGCACCTAGCTCCAAAACAGCTGGAGGGTCGGAGTTGCCCACACCTGTTGTAGAAAGTACAGGGCGGTGGAGACACACTAATAACAGATTTTTAATACCAATTGGGGTTCAACTTTAATGTTATATTGTTTTAATAAATAACCCGTGTAAACGATATGGCATAAATAATAAAAAACTCACTTTTGTATTCTAAATGAAATCCAGCAGCTGATACACTTATATCAGTGTGAAAATGCAGGTAGAGCTGATTTGATGTGCTATTTAGCAGAGCCGGTACCGTAGTCCCTAATAAAAGAAGAATAAAAAAGAATCAGTTGATTTTAATTTAGGTTAGGTGTAGGTTAATTAAATATCAGTTATATATTTCAATGCACATATTTCTTCTAGTTAGGAAGTGGCTTCTCCTGCATAAGATTCAAAAGTAGATGTATTTAAAAAACATAGTTATAAACTGATGTAAAATGTGTTAAACATTTCAGACTCAGAGAACGAGATGATGTCTGCATTATATTTAAATGTATCTAATTTATATCTGCATGTTCTGTTAAATAAAATCAATGTTGACAACTCCCCTGGACTTTGCATCAATAAAACTAAACTAAATGTCACCTCTGTACTACAGGTTCCACTACTTGACAGTGATCAGAAAATTTGGGACTCTGTGGTTCATTACAATATGGTATTTGCACAGATATTAACATATAATAGCGGTCAAGCTATGGACATTCAAATATTTACAAATTCCCAGAAATTAGGTAAATAAACTTTAAAATAAACCATGTATCCCCTGTAACTGCAGGCACTATGAAATATTTAATCTTCAAAGCTGAAGCTTCTTAGCTAAAGCTTCTCATTTTTACTTTCAGTCTCTCTCTACAACTCAGCTCCCACTTGCCAGTAGTGAGTTAGCAGCCTGCCAGCCTTCTAATCTCTAATGTAAACACAAAGCAAGTGTACAAGAAGAGAGTAGAGTCAACATTCCAAAGACATTACTTAAATTAATTTACTATTGCATGGTATTTCTCAGGTGGGTTTTGTGACGATGACAATAATGTACCATGTGTGCTATATAAATAAGTGGCCACTTTATCAGAAGCTCATGTGATAGGGTGGCAATGCATGATCACAATTGAGAGAAAGCGACAAAGCACTGTCATCTTATAGCAGGAAGTGCTTAAACGAGGACCTTCCTGCTGGGGCCATGATGCATCATTTTAATTAAAGCTGCAAATGTAAAAATATTGAAAATTACATTTGAAATTATATTAACATTTAAGGTTTATATGAGATTTTAGTGATTAGGTTTACATGTACATTCATGCACATGCTTGATTTTAATGAGAGCTATATAGGAGGCGGTACAAAGTGCATTGTGTATGGGCACTGGAAACACTGGGGGGCATTTATCAAGTAAATCAGCAACACAGACACAAATCAGGTTGCCTCTCTTTTAGCAAAGTCTATGCAACAGTTATCTTGTGTATTTGCCATGTGCCTCTAATCCTGGGTGGCCTACTGTAGCAGAGTTGCAAAAGGTCTGCAGCAAACTTTTTACTGTAGATGAGACAGATTTTTACTTTAAACAGACACAAAAAGTGGAAGTAAAGTCAGTGGAGGAAAAAAAGAAAGCCCCTTGGAGCTTTAGGTATGATTTACTAGTATGCACCACATATTAGCACATTATGACAGTCTTACCTGCCAAAGCGATCCTCACCACCATGACACTCCTCCCTCATTGGCACTGCCATCTTTCCCCTGGTCTTTTTCTAGGTTCTGATCATTTAACTGCACATGCATGGCTCAGTGTGCAGCCCAAAAAAATGCTGACAGGCAGCAAGATGTTTTTATGGCAGAAGAGAGTTTTACATCAGCAATTTTTTTTTAATTTCATTTCCGCTTTAAGAAGTGGTCAGGGTTCAGGTTTCATTCTGGTGTAAGGGCTACTTTAAAGCAACCGAGAGAGGGGTTGTAACCTTGTTGTAAATCTATCTACAGTCTGTCTCAATTCTTCTGCTTAGCATTCTCTTGCTGTGCAAGAAAATTAATAAATATCCCTTAGTGATTTCTGCTGAACAGTCATTGCTTCCTGTTTTCATTTTGCTGCAATAGCTGGACTGGGTTGAGGGAAGAATAGTTGTCAATTATGATTTTTTAATAATTATGAACATACATGTTAACCTCTTGCCGTCCGCCCGTAGTAAAAAAAATGGATGGACGGCACTGCAGCATCTGTGGGTTGCCGTCTCCAGACGGCAATTTTTTTCTGCTCGCGCGCGCCCCCTAGCGGGCACGCACGGGCAGAAAAGACCCGACGATTAAACACACCCGTTACCGGGTGTTTCACATATAGGCGATCAGTGGGTCCATAGCCTCGCCGATCGCCTATATGTGCTCGTTCGCGGCACCCCGCGCCCGGTCGGCGCTTCGGGTTGATCTCCGTCCGGGCTGTGAATGCAGAAGTGATGTGTATTACATCACTTCCGCATTCACCTGTCAGTCATCTGGCTGCTATTGCCAGAGAGAAGAAGCTGATAGAGCAGATCTCTGCTTCATCAGCTTCTTTTGGGGTCCACAGACAGGTGTAGGGGCAGCACATGACTATCCCCTTCCTCCTACATCACAACCCTCCTAACACATCACAAAGTGATTGATCACTCAGGCACTGTAAAGCTTACACAGGGCATCCCCTTTACTTCCAGTGGCCGAACATAGCAACATGGAGAAAAAAGAATGTTAACTTTGTGCTGTTGGAGAGAGCTCATAGAAAAAACACAGGTTTGCTTTCAAGCAGTACATTATGTACAAAAAATATCCCACAGCACATCAAACATAGAAAAACATTTGTATAACTATAATTTCTAGAGAGATTATTGCAGGCAAATAAGAGTAAGCAAATTAGCATATAGTTCATTAAAAAAAACATTATATTGTTTAAAAAATTTTAAGTACCAGCAATATATTTGAACATGTATGTGTCACATTTCTCAATGTCAAGAGGAAAAATCTTAGATGAAAGTGACAAATTCTCAGTCAGGCCCTACTAAAAATAACCTTGAAAGGCAAAAGTAAGATGAGCAAAAATTACAAAAGAAGGAATAAAGGCTCATTTTGTTGAGTGACATAAGTTCATGTGACAGCGACGAGTTCTTTGATTCCTTTTCTTGGAAAATAACATATCTGTAAAGCAATTTACCTAAAGCAGGCCCTTTCATCAAGAAATAAACAACTTTGGTTTAAATACAAGGAGACATAGTCTACTATAAAACCCAGCGCCATCTCTGTAGAGTATTTACAGTATTCTATGGATAGATATCATTGCTGTGTATAACAAAGCTTTAAGACCAGAAGCGAAAAGTCTAAGCAACCGTTGGCCACCTTGCGATGAGTGATGCACTTTGCTTTAGAATGGCTTCCAGTTTGCAGCCCTTGGATACACTCACACTTCTTTTCTTGGTGTATAAAAATGTTTTAATGATTTAAAAAAAAATGCCTTGTGTTTACATCTTTTGGCCTATTCAAAGATTCCTGTAAGCTGCGTAGTGAAATGCTACCGTTAGAGGTGATCCACAGCATTTCCTTTACTAAATTCAATTATGGTTGGAAGCATATGCACAATGCTGTGAAAAATATCTCTTCTAGAGTTAATAATACCATCATTGTGTTTCAGATGTATATGTGGAAGAAGGACATTATATTATGATTATGGACTTTAATAAGATTTGTAATATTTTATTTTGTATGATATATGACTACTAGCAGATTTTTAGATGCTCCTATTTTTGTTTTCATTTTTTAAAGGACAACTGTACTAAAAGGTACAGTTTAATACATTTTTATAAATACAAAAAAAGTCTTCTATGGTATAGTGCTATTGTTATGGTATAGCATATTAGGATTAGACATCTGTGACAAAACAATGCAGTTGTCCACTCTCAATTCGATATACCAAAATTAACACCAGACTTATATATAAAACCAACAGATAGCAACCAATTATTAGCATTTGATTGCTTTCATCCTCCTTTGATATTTGGGTTTATTGCTAAAAGCCAGTTTATGAGATTGGATAGGATACAAAGAGCTCCTGATTTCACTGAGACAAGGAGAATGTAGATGGAAAATTACTTTACAGCCAGAAATTAACTCTTAAAACATTTGGAAAAGGATCCATTGGGACCTGCTGCAAAATATGAGTTGTGAACCGATACTAGAAAAAAAAGAAGATTCCGTTTGAATACCAGTATCATGGCTTATCTGCAATTGTTTTTTTTTCCTGTATTAAACACCATTGGCATATTTTATAACAGGAGTGCCCATTAGGTTGATCGTCGATCGCAAAGCAAACACTGGTAGATCGAGATCGCCTCACTGACCTGAGCTCCCTCCCGTGGTGCTAGTGCGGCTGAATGTGTCAGATGCTGCAGATGGGTAGGGGCAGGACACTTCCCCCCGTCTGCAGCGTCGGACACATTCGGCCATACAAGCACAGTAGGACGACAGGAGAGTGCACATAATAGTAGACCTGGGAAGCTGCTGCAGTGCAGGTAAGAATAGACAGCCAGGAGAGAGAAGAGACAGCCAGAGGAGAGAGAGAAGAGACATCAGAAAGAGAAAAGAGACAGCAGAGAGAAGAGAAAATAGGGAGAGAAAAAGAAAAGAGACAGCAGAGAGAGAGGGAGAAGAGACAGCAGAGAGAAGAGACAGCAAAGACAGCAGAGAAAATAGACAGCAGAGAGAAGAGAAAGCAGAGAGAGAAGAGACAGCAGAGAGAGAGACAGGGGAGAGAGCGAGGAGAGAGAGAAGAGACAGCAAGAGAGAAGCCCGGTTAACATCACAAAGTCTGCATTCCAAAGTGTTTGGCCTCTGAAACACACTGAAACGCAAGTCGGCCGCTTTCAGGGGTGGCACCGCAGCCACGCCCCCACTATTTTTGCAGATAGCACTGGACCGGAAAGCAGGAACTAATGCCTGTGTTCCGTTTGTGGGTGATCGCACTGTGGGTGGGGGCGTGGCTGTGGTGCCATTTACTTTAATGCACCTCCATGCTCCCTCCAATCCTTGAATGCAGGGAGTCGGGCGGCTTGAGTCCCAGTAAATTCCAGAGGCCGAACACTCTGAAACGCAGACTTTGTGGTGTAAACCGGCCCAGAGAGATACAGCAGGGAGAGGAGAGAGAGATACAGGAGATAGAGAGATTGCATGAGAGTGAGGCAGTAGTCCCAGTAACAATTTTAATGTGCTTGTTTTTTTAAATAAAGATGTTTTTTCATTGGTAGATCTCATTGAGCTCATCATTTGAAAAGTAGATCTCCAGATGAAAAATTGTGGGCACCCCTGCTCTATAAAGTCTATACAAACAGAGCTCCAAGTGCCCAAACATTATCTGCCAGAAGGGTACAGTGACACTGTTCTTTCATTTATGATAATAGATCAGGTCCCAAAATTGAAATGGGGTGGTAATTGTATAACCATTTTGAAACAAAAAGAGGTGTTTTGCATATTGTATATGTCAGATAAACACACTCGCTGTCATCATGAGGTGTGAACCATGATTTTGAATTGTATTTGTTTCTTTAGATTAGGAAACACCCAGGTCATCCTCGTTCTAGATCAGCAATCACACCTTTTGTTGAGTTAAGCTGAAATGTTGTACTTCTTTGATCTCCAATGTTATTTGGTATTCATCCTTTGTCACTTTGTTTTGGTGGTTACCGTGAAACAGCAGGTTGTCTGCATGGCCTTTGTGATGATTGCTCCTTGCTGTTGGTGCTGTCCACCATAAACTAAACACACCTATATATAAAATCCAAAAGAAAACTCCTCCACTCCAATGGCTATGCTGCATTCTTCTTATAATATAATTTTTAATAAAAAAAGTTTTGCTACAAAAGAGACAGACAATTTATAGTACATGAGTTTATAAGTAGCTCAACTCGAGGACATATATCTTTACTAAAATGCTCTATTGTGACATGTAGATACCTTCTGTATTAAGAAGGTTCCACTGTGCTATGCATTCGTTTGCTGCAGGGCTTGTTGGTCCCTTTTGGTTCACCTTACCATACGTTGTTGTGTTAGACTGTCTTTTTATTCCCAAAGCTGTATCTCATTGAAGCCAGGCACAGAATAGTTTCCATGTGATAATGGCCACACGCCTGAAAAAAGCTGTATGTAGTTTGCAATAAATGGCTCTGTATTAGGTTGTAGTTGTGCTTTAAACCTGAGGTTCTGGATATACGGTTGACCAAGGGGCAGAAAGGAATGATTTTCAAGAATCCACCCACTATCCTAAAATGAGGAATAAACCTATTGAGGGGAATTTATCAAGACTGGAGCAGGCAGAATCTGGAGCAATTGTAGCTTAGCTGAACAAACTGAAAAGAGAAACTGATTGGTTACTGTGGGCAACTGATTCTGTATGTTCCAGTTTTGATAAATTCCCCCACTGTTTTTGTGATTTTTAACAACCATAAATACCTCCTGTTTTAAAATGGCACATTCAGGGCATATTAGAAACATTCACTTTAGAAAGCACTTTTAGAAAGCAACCTTTTAGAAAGATTATACCTATTATCTATAGCCATTGAGATTACCCTATGAATAAAATGAATATATATTATATTATTAATTCATTATGGGGCATTTGATCCTATTTTCCAAATGCTATGCTCATGTATTTAAAGTTTGCATTTATATATCAGCAATTGCAAATGTAATAACAAAAAGGACACTAATTTTTAAATGTTACCAGCACTGTAAAGAAGAGGAAGAAGTTTAGGACAGAGAGAGTGGAGGGTAGAAGTTACAGTAGCAATGTGGTGTGATCCATGACATTGGAGGGGACAGCGCAGCCAGTATTGTGAATACAGCATTATTTAGTATTAGTAGTAGTAGTAGTTACAAAGTAGTTAGAAAGCAGTCTTAAATGAGGGTATTACTTTGGGTATTATTTTTTAGAATTATAACTGAATCCTTATTCCTGCAAGCCTTGGCCCTCTTCACTCCCATATATCTAACATTTTATTTTCAATTTTGTAGTCAGTAATGTTATAATTTTTTCAATATAGTGTTTGTTGAATACAGCCTTATATTTGAGTAGGTAATGAATAGAAAGTTTTCTGCACAGGAGTACTTTGCTGTCTGCATCCACCAATTAGCAGCAGCATTATTGTGATGGAAGACTGAAAAGTGAAGTTAAATGACCATGTATTAGCTTCAAACATCTAGGGTGCAGTGACCACTTACTAATAGCATCAAATATCTAATCTCATGCAGAAGACTATTTTTGTAATTCCCCAACACATAACTACCATATAACTACCAGTTTAATGTAAATACAAGTTCCTTTCCTGTTACATGCTATTACTTTGATTCACTTAAGTAAATTACCCAAAATAAGAGACCCTGGACATTAAATTCCCCACATATGTAAATACATCTATAAGATCTGTTATAAGATTTGTATTTCTGATGCTAAGTAAAATTCAAGTACTTATACTGCTTACATTTACAAAAAGTTAATTTAATGATGAATTAATGATTACAAAGCTCCATTCATTTGTGCCTATTATATCTGCCTACAGTTCAGCTTTAAGTTAATTTATGACTTGCGGGTGGTTTAGAACAAAGAAAAAATTATTCATGCAGCATCAGTAGCTGAACAAAGAAAGACTGGATAGTAAGACCTACTTTATAGGACTACACTGTGCTCTATAATGTTAAATCTGAGCGCATTTAGTAAGCTGAAACAAGGGAGATATTTGATAACAGTTTGATGAGATATGAATCAAAACAACAGAGAAAGAGGATATTAAGAAAGTATTTGTTATCACATTTTTTCTCTCACAATATATATATATATATATATATGTATGAATACTACTAAACCTTTCAACTCCCCATGCACCAGGGGAAGGGATTGCTTATAACAACCAATTAGGTGTCAGTATACAGTAATATACTATTGTAACATCCAAAACACAAAGTAAAGCAAGAGATTTGCAGACAAACAATCAATGTATAGTTCCAGTATGATCCTCTATAGAAGTGTTTTGTTGTTTGAACTGCTGAATTAACACAAGCTTATTATATATGCATATATAGTATATGTATATACACTTAAACTATTGTATTAGCCTGGGCATTGGTCCTTTGGAATTTTTGACCCTTTTCAATTAACATCGGATTATGAGATCACTGTTTTTGGATCATTTGTTTTATTCTGGGTTTCATTCAGTAAACTCTATGCCTTATGTTACTGTATTTGTTATTTATCTTACTATAATTTTTTTGGCATAATGTTAACTTCACATAAATATCATACAATTGTGAATGAAATGAAGTGAATGAAGCACTGCATACTTTATACCTTAATGAAATGACCCTTGCTATCACATTTTATGTTGTGACTCATGTTCTTGTAAGATGTTCTTGTATAAAAGCATACTTGGGTAAAGAATAACTAAGAAAAATATCATGACTTCCTAAGGCTCCTTTCACATGGGCTGATCAGGAGGGGATTTGTGCACAGATCCTTTCCTGATCGGAGTGGTGTGGATCAGAGGTCACTGCTGTGACATCCGTGTCCATCGAGTTTTCTCCTCTGTCTTGCAATGGAGAAGAAAACTGAAATGACTGGACCCCATGTTGGTCTATGGGTAATTAGATGTAAATGAATTACCATCAGATTACCCCCAATTAGGCCTGATCAAACTGCACTGTACCATTTGTTTTTCCAGATTAAGCCAGAGCTGGGGTAAATGGACACCCATCATTTTAAATACAGCTGCCCACAGACTTACATTGGGCATCTGATCGAGTCCGCCTGAAAAACTGACAGACAGACCCGATTGGAATGCTCGCATGAAAGGGACCTAAAGAGGTATATTTCCAGAAAACACAAATTACTAATATAAACATGCTAAGAAAGGTAGAAGTCTTAGCTGTGAAATGTGGAAGTGGTGCCAATTAAGGATGACAATTGCAGATCTGAAAGCACACCCTGTACTATAAACAGACCTAAAGAATAACAGATAGGGGGTGTAGTATTGTTGAAGAATTTGTAGATAAGAGCTTGATATTCAGCCATTAAAGCAACAAGTATCCAGTGGAAAGATTGACAGAGGGCTGAGCTGCTACTTTTGCAGTTGGTAATGAGAAGGTGCCAACATAGTGAGTGGCAAGACCATTAGTTAATTATGACAACAGTCAGGAAGGGAAATTAAGTTGTGCATGGATTTAGATTTATGTAGTTTCATTAGAGTAATTACTGTTTTCAGCTGAAAAATTCAACATTTTGCTACAGTGTGTGTACTGTAGAAGCAAAGTATGCATTTAAACAATATAAAGATGGTATGAATGCAACCATTTTTCCAAAGGTGTTCTCTAGTTTGGGAGCATTTTGGAAGGCAGTGTGGCTGTAGATGATGACAGAGGAGGAAAGAACAGTTTTATTCAAGATAATATGCCTAACCTGTGTGTGGGGATAGGGGGTGTATTGAATGTAAGGGATATAATTTGAAGTGACTTGGATGCACACTATTCTTTTTAGCTTTTTTCTTTAAGACAATGAAGCTGCATGCTGCAAACAGCAGCTCAAAGAAGGGATGAGCAAATACAAATTAATCTTGCACTTTGAGCACCACAAACTTTAAAAAAAGGGCATATTAACATAAAATAAAAAAATCAAGAAACCCCCCAAAAATTAAAAACTCCAAATAACGCCCCTTAAACAATATGCAAGAAAAGCTTTATGGCAAAAAAACAACTAAAAAAGGCTCTATCAAGAAAAAATTAAACACAAGATATTAAAACCCCAAAATATCATCTGTAAAACAAAAGCCAGTATACAGTATATCAGTAACATGCAGCACACAAACAGTATAAAATAAATAATGCCCTCATGTGCATACTATACTAAAAGAATAATGTATTAGGCATACGTATATTTACCAGAAAAACTTCCAAGTCTTGGTGCAGTCACATCTGAGCCATCATATATTTCAAGTGAATCCCAGTTGTGCTCTGTTGCAAAACTTAAAACTTGTATCTGTCAAAGAAACTGGCATCAATGAGTATGTTTTTGATATTGTATATAGTACAGTCACAAAAGTTTTTATTTTAAACAAAGCCTTGCAAAAAAAAAGTCCTTTTCCGGGTGTTTCTCAAAGCAGAACTCCAGGCAAGCAACTGGATACACAGTTGAAATTAATTCATGGGAACAGTTTTACCCACCAAAAGATTTATAATTATGTGTACACCTGCCAAACGCACAGAATTACAGCAGGGTAGCATAGAATACCATGCACTTCTCAGCCTACTATTTGGACAATAAAAGAGGCAGAAGCACAGTAATTAGTCTGCTCTCTTCTGCTGTCAGCAAGCTCACTGTCAACACATGTCAACATATGTACATGCAGTAGAGCACAATGTAGATGTATGTGGGTAATTGTATTAGTTATGTTTAAAAAGAAATGTAATTAATTTTAACCACTTCCCGGCTGGCCGTTGTAAAAAAACGGCCGACCAGGAGCTATCTAGATCTGAGCGGGCGTCTTTAGACGTCCGCTCAGCCACGCCCCCTCGCACGCGCCCAGCCAGCTATTTCAAAACGGGCAGCGATGCCCGTTAATATACAAGCGATCCGCCGGCTATAGAGCCAGCGAGAACTACTGAGCTGTAAAAGTTTTTAAAGCGTCGCCTATGGTAAATTTTGGGTATGGTAGTTTTTTGCGATTTTGTGGGTGTGCGCAATTTAAAAGCATGACATGTTTGGTGTTTATTTACCCGACGTGACCCTGTCTTTTATATTTTACCAAAAATTTGGGTAATAATCATTGTTTCCTAACATAATGAAAAAAAACCTTTGTTTCCCAAAAATTTCAATAATTTCTCCTTAATATAGTAAAAAATAAAAACCCCAGTGGTGATTAAATATAACCAAAAGAAAGCTCTATCTGTCCCCAAAAAATGGTATAAAATTCATTTCAGTACAGCGTTGCATGACGGAATAAACGTCAGTCAAAGTACCGCAGTGCTGAACATTGAAAAATGGCCTGGCCAGGAAGGGGGTCTAAACACCTGGTCTTGAAGTGCTTAATGCATATATGACTACATCCATGTTGTATATCTGCCTGGAGCCTGGTTTTAAGAATACAAGTAATTTAAAAGAATTATGTACTGAAATAAAGAATAAGCTGCAATTGAAGACCTCTTTTATTAGTAGAATAATCCCCAATACATAGCATTAACTACCAAATTTAGTTTTTACTATGTGACACTTTGCAAAAATCTGTCAGCATTGGTGTAGGTCTTTAATGAATGGCACCATAAAAACCTGAAAAATGGACTTCCGGTTCCGGCGCCCTATGTGCTAGTCGGTGGTCACGGAGCTCCGTCCCGACGAACATCTACTACCCTATCAAAGGGCACTAATCCGCCGCTGCTGACACCACCCGGGGAGCCAAACACCCGACCGACATGGACCGATACCTGGAGCGCCGGCCGAGGGCTCGCAGATCCCTCACGGCCGCCTGTTCTGAAGAGGCCTTAGCCAACCTGGCGGATGACGAAGGGCCTCAGGCAGACATGCCGCTAGACGCAGGGGGTGAGTCTGCACGTGAACCCATCGCACTCCCCCCTATGGATTTCCAGGCCATAGCCTCTGAAGTGGCCAAGTGCCTCAAGGCTGACATCACTGCCATTATTACTGACTCCCTGCACTGTCACTTAGGGGAACTAAATGACACTCTGGAGACACAGATACAGCGCATGCAGGGATTGGAGCTGTGTGTCTCTGATCTAGAGGATCATGCCACAGAAGCGCAACACACTCGTGGGGACATGACTAAACACCTACAGGCCCTACAAGATAAAGTGGACAACCTGGAAAATCGCTCCAGACGCAACAACTTAAGGGTTATAGGCGTTCCGGAATCCATCAAGCCTAATGACCTATGCCATTTTTGCTCTCACGCCATTCCTAAAGCTATGGGCCTAGCTGAACCCTGCAGGGTTGAGAGAGCGCACAGAATAGGTAATGCCAGAAAGACTCAGACCGGTCATAGTGCGCTATCTGGATTATCATGACAAGCACACCATTTTTCAGTCCTACAGTGCACAACGTAATCTAGTGGTGGACGGCCTGAAATTACTTCTATTCGCTGACTACTCTGCAGAGGTCACTAAATCCAGAAAAGCATTCCAGGAAGTATGCCAACTGTTGGTACGTAGACGTATAAAATTTGCACTGCAATACCCGGCAGTATTGCATTTTTCAACAGAGGATGGAAAATCTTGGCGCTTCAACTCAGCGCTCCAGGCCCAGAAGTTCCTGGAATCCAGAGAGGCACCTCAACTATCATCCCCAATGAAAAGCCCACCGAGGAAAAAGAAGGCCTGAGGCACTCCCCCCGAAGGTGCGGGAAAAGGTAGTTCACTATGTGATGCGCATACGCGTCATGATTGTCGTGGCTTTGTGCCTTAGATATTCGGGCTCCGTTAGGCTCCCTGCCTCTTCATTAGACTGTTTGCTTATCAGTTATCTACAGGTTTTATACGTTTTGTTCAGCCAAACCCCTCATAGACGGGATGGAGGGATCATTCTCCACGAGTTTTTTCTTTTTTTTCTTGCCGGCATGCGGACCTGGCTTATGGAGGCCATGTTGGCTTCCATAATGGGTCTGGCACAGACCGCTAGCATTGGGGAAAAAAGGAAGTACGTACAGATGTTTTGCTGTTTTTGTTTTTTTGTTTAGTATGTGTTCTTTTTTGTTTTTTGTCTGAATTTTCAAAAGCGCACACACACCGGGTTGAGGCGGATCCTCTGCCTCTATCTACACTCTTGGAACCGAGTGGTTCATTCACCAAGCCAAGACGACATCCTCCACCCCCCTGGACCTGCTCCCTACACGTGGGATTCCACACCTCTGGACACTGTGGGATCGCTGGGACGCCTGCTAGTGCCCCACGTTATTATATTACCTTCCTATCTTCGACTTCTCCTCTACCTATATGGGCCCTATGGGATCCCCCTTGAACATCATTTCGTGGAACGTTAAGGGACTGAAATCCCCCAACAAAAGACGGAAAATCCTTCGCCATCTCAAGAGCCTCAAAGTGGGCATTGCCCTTCTTCAGGAAACGCACCTCAAGGAAGCTGACATCTCTCACCTCCAACAATCCTGGGTCGGGACGGCCCTAGGAGCACCAGCAGCGGGGATTTTAATGCAGAGGCATCCGCTCGGGAGGACCGATCCCGGGAACAGGACTCTACACTTTCGAGGGCTAAACCCCAAGACTCACATCTGAATACCTGGATTGAGGCCACTGGACTGGAGGACCTTTGGAGGTATTTACATCCGTTGGAGCGGGAATACACACACTTTTCCCATGCACACAAAGCTTTATCACGCATCGACATGTTTTTTTCTACCCAGGTTTTATTGCCTAATATAGTGTCTGCCACATTGATGATCTAGTGATCTCGGATCACGCCCCTGTCGTGGTCACTGTGAAAAACGTTGGTGCACAGAGTCATCCCACTATCTGGCGGTTCCCGTCATATTTGTCGCATGATGAAACCTTTCAAGGCGAGCTGCAACAGTGGTGGCATGGCTATGTGACGGACAATGCACAGCATGCATCTGACCCAGTTCTTTTTTGTGAGGCTGCAAAAGCAGTACTTAGGGGCAGAGTGTTGGCTTATGCCTCCTCGAAAAAACGCACGATACGACTCAGATATGCGGAAGCTAGCAAGGCAGCCAGACAGTCCTATCTCGATTATACACGTGATCCCACTCCAACTAACAGGTCCGCCTGGCTGACGGCCAAGCAAGAATGGGATCACTGGCTCCACCAGCATTACCTTATTCTTAGAAACACCAGAAATTTGGCATTGTTCAAATTTGGTAATAAATCAGTTAAACTCCTAGCCAACTTAGCTCGAGGGAGAACTACGCCCACGCATATTGCTCAACTCCTGGATGACTCAGGGACGCTGCACTCAGACTCGAAATCCATAGGGGATATATTTAGTAAATTTTACAAGCACCTTTATAGACCTGAACCGGGTGATATGGCCGCAGGTTCTTCTTTCCTAGACAACACTCCATTACCAACCTTATCCCCAGATGAACTATCCGCCCTTAATGCAGATATATCGTTAGTGGAAATTGAAGAGGTGATTAAGCATTCCCCTAGAGCCAAGGCCCCAGGCCCTGACGGGTTTTCAGCTGAATTTTATAGAATACTATCCCCTGACATATCTCCTACACTGAAAGACCTCTTCCAACATATATTACGCACCCATCACTATCCCCCCACCTTCACAGAGGCATACATTAGGCTCCTGCCTGAAAAAGGGTAAAGACCCATTGCAAGCTGGTTCATACAGGCCGATCTCGTTACTAAATGTCGATGCCAAATTTATTTTGAAAATTCTAGCTAACAGGCTGGCTGCCGTGTTGCCGAGGCTCATCTCTCCGGAACAGGTAGGGTTTGTCAATGGGAGGTCTGCAGTGACAAATGTGCGTAAAATATTGTTGGCCTTGGAATGCAATAGACTGAAGTTATCTTCTCCGCGTCCATCGGCTCTTTTGGCCCTGTACGCGTAGAAGGCATTTGATAATGCCAATTGGGAATGGCTGTCGAATGTTATGCAACGTATGGGTTTTCAGGGTGCTTTCCTGCAATTTGTGTCCACAATGTACTCCTCCCCCAAGGCACGTATACTCACCTCTACAACTATCTCAGAACCTTTCACCCTACATAGGGGCACGAGACAGCGATGCCCACTATCTCCCCTCTTGTTCAATCTGGCTTTAGAACCGCTCTCCCGATCCCTCTCCTCAGCCTCGTTCTTCACGGGTCTGCGGTTGGGTCCCCATAATCTTAAGACTGCACTTTTTGTGGATGACATTATTCTTCTGCTCTCAGACCCCTCATCTCAGATCCCCGAAATAATGCAGCACATCTCTCACTATGGCACCTTCTCTGGCTTGACCATCAATTTCCACAAAAGCGAACTCTTACTATTGCCACCCTCCCAATCCCTAGACACTTCCACATGGCCCCCTGATATGACCATTAAGGTCCAGAAACACTATATTACGTACTTAGGGATACGCATCCCAAGTAAAGCTGCGGATTTATACCACCTTAATTACTCACCATTGTTTCTCAAGATTACACAGGAGCTCCACAGATGGCGTGAGCTCCCTATCTCTATGTTGGGTAGATGTAATTTGCTGAGAATGGTTAGCTTTGCTAGGCTCCTGTATCTGCTACAAACAATTCCCTTGCTTATCGATCATAAATACACTAAAATGCTATACCAGGCGTTCTCAAAATTCATTTGGAGAGGGAAACGCCCGAGGGTAGCCCTGAGGAAACTCCAACTGCTGTACACGTTGTTAGGGGCGAACGTCCCAGATGTCCGTCTATATAACTTGGCCAGCTTGTTTCGACATGTGCGGGATTGGTTGCACGACACCTCTTACTTTACTAATACGCCATTGGAACGACAAATGGTCGCCCCGTGGTCCCTGCTGGGCATCATACACACCCCATGGAAAACTTTACCACCGCTCATTAGGAGTAATATTCTCCTAAGAGATACGGTGATCACGTGGAGGGAGGTCAGAAAGCTGATGGGAATCCTGGGGGTGGTATCCTCCCTAATGCCACTCACGTCATCCCCGGCCTTCCCCGCAGGCAATTCCTCTAAGGTCTTTCTTCAATGGCAATCCAAGGGCATTCACACATTGAAGGGCCTTCTGACTCCTCAGGGCTCCTGCAAGACTTTTGCAGACCTGCTGAGTACCCAAGCCGTATCAATCACGCATTTCCTTCAATACGCCCAGATACGGCATTTCATAGCCAGTAATTTAGCCCCACCAGGAGATGATACGACCTGTGGCCTCCTCGGGAGACTATTGTCCTCCCCATCTGAGAAGATGCCGTTGTCTGAAATTGTACGAACCATAAGATGGGCCGTCCCCTACCAAATGTACGGATCACCTTTAACCGCACATGTACACAAATGGTCAACCTTCCTACAATTACCCTTGGAAGACACTGATTCCCTGTTACTTAAGGGTTGGCTTTCCCTACGGAAAGTGGTTACATGTGAAACTTGGAGGGAACTCCAATTCAAAATAATCCACAGAGCGTACTACGCCTTTAATCTCAAATTCAAGTCATCACCCCCTGATTGGTTGACTTCATGTCCCAAATGCCATGCAACCTTCTCGAACCTGGAACATCTACTTTGGTATTGTCCCTTCATCCAACTGTTTTGGACACAAACTATAATTTACATGAATGCAGGCTCTGACAACCATAGATCCACTGACCCCTCACTGTGCCTATTTCAGGTAGATAATCCCACTCCGCCAATAGTACCCAAATGACCCTCACGTTGGGAACACATTTGCCTTATCGCTGCCAAGAAAGCTATATTGACGAGCTGGCTCTCACCTACACCTCCTTCCTTAGGAGCCCTGAAAGAATTATTACACAATGATGCCCGTGATAATTATACCCATACTGACAGATTTTTTTCCACATGGACCCCATTTCTAAGCTGGGAGTTGATGTCACTCTTTACAGACACTAAATGGTACCTCGAAGCGAAACTTGCCTCAACCCTGGGACCCCTGAATGTCCTTTAGCATCGATCCTCTCGCTACCAGGTATACCTACTAGTCATGTAATCAGCTCCCCACTACACCTAGGGGGGTAGGCACGCCAGGTGGGTGTGTTATGGTTCCACAAATTACATAACTGTAATACATGCGCTATGTATGTGCCACATTTTATTGTTTATCGCTTGTTGAATTTTTTTTTGTATTCTTTGTTGAATATGGTACTGTATCCTTACTTATACTTATCCTACAGGACTTATAATCGCTAAAAATGTTGTAACTCTGCGATTAAGCCTGCTTTGTATGTTATTGAAGATTCTTAAATAAAAAAATGATTGCAAAAAAAACCCTGAAAAAATCGGAAACAGTAAAGAGTACATTGTCAAATAAAGGCTATTTTGCTGTTTTGTCTACATATTTTGCCATGGATGGAGATATTTTGCCTAAAGCAACACTAAAGCAGTACTAAAGGGAGCCTCCAAACATTCAACAAATAAACCAATACTGGATTACAATAGCACCTTCCGCATAACCAGCATTTGATTTTCTCACCAGAGTCATGTATACCATTTTAACTCACATTTGAATGATTGTGTTTTTTAGTAAATGTAAGTTAAAGAGATCTACTGCACAGGTCACTGGGTCAGCTATCCAGCTGTTAGTTATGAAGACTATTGCAACAACTACTGTGGTTTAGCGAACAAGTGCAAGAGGACATTTTGTTTACATTTGTTGCAAAACACACATCTTAACATGCAGCAACAGTATCCTAAAAAATTACACCTTTAAGCAGTGTCCACTAACTGCGTGTAGCTTGAAAGTTGCAATATGAGAAATGCTGTTGTCAGTTGACAGCAGACAGGGAGTATGCATTTCTTAAGCTGGCCATATATTAAGCAAATTTTGGCTGGTTCTTTTGGAAACTGTCAAAATGTGCACGGTGGGTACTGCTGTCTGAACCCTACTGGCCAGCATCCCTCGAACAGCAGATCGATGAGTTGGTTGGAAAATCTTTAAAGGAACAGAGCAGATAGCCAATCAACTTCCGGGTCTGTTAAGATATTTTGACAGTGGCCATACTGTCAAATATTTTACCTATAATAATGCATGTAACATGAAAAACGTGTACCATGCTAAATCCACACAGAGTCTCACATACCCTCAATGACATTACCTATTTTTGTGTACTTGCCTGAATTCCTGATCCTTCAGCCACTATGATTTTCCAAACACAATTTAAGCTGTTGCCATAAGGTTCAGGAAAGCCAGGGGATAATATTGTCCCTCTTCTGTCCGTAAAATTCCCACTACAAGGGACTTAAAGAAACAGAATAAGATTTAGGTTATTTACTATGGACAAACAAATACAGAGAGATATTAACAAATCCCCATTTGCACATGTGTAATTGTATACATTTTTATTTATCAATATGTTTTTGTTGCATGACAGTACTCAGTGGTCAGAGTGGTGAGAGTGAGTTAAAGCAGTTCATTATATGTGTGCTTCAACTTTCTCTTGGTACTTTGGTGACAGAGCTAATCTAGCTAAAATAAATAATTGTTTTATGTATTATTGTCTTTATTCCGGTTTGGGAGACTGTTCCTTTGAAGGGATACCACTTCACTTTCTATCCCAGAGATATAACAGAAAGTGAGGGGAAGATTCTCTGACATGAGATGAAATCTGCTCATAGCAGACCGCTGTAACTGGAACAGGACGATATTCATCATTACAAAAATAAGGTAAATATACCTGGTAGGGACACCGACAGATTCTACCCTTGTGGCTTCAGATACACTTTAAAAGAAAATTGCTGATTAATACTGAACTAGCTCCAAGTTAGAAAATCATTTACTGCTTTTAAAATTTTTGTATTAATAGTTTTTAATGTAAGTCAGCCATGTTTTAGATTTCATGGCTTTGATCTTTCATCCTGCATTGATCATACAATTTACTTTTTATTTCTATCTCATCATATAAAATAATGAATCAAAACAGACATTAAAAAGAATATATTTAGCCCATTTCTCTCATTAAACCAGTTTTTAAGACATGGCTCTCTCTCTCCTCTTTTTTTTTTTTACCAGTCTAACAGTCTGTCATTAAGTTGTAGCATGTAGTGACAAATCATTTTCTTTTTTTGCTTGTTTTCTGTTTATTAATATTGATTTGACCTTTGGCCAGTTGTAAAAGGATTTAAAATATATTGATTCTCTCTGTACAAATGATCTGTGCCCGGAGGACCACCCTAATACTCATGGCATTGCTTTTAAGAAACCTTTTCATTTTAGCCTTACTGAACATATACAAATGGGGGCAATTTCATAAAGGTTTTGCAACACAATTCTGGAGGTATGGCTGTATCTAAAACTCTTGTGCCAAATTCATTAACCCTTTCACTGCCAAGGAAGTACGTCGTACGGAGCTACAAAAGTGCTTCCAGCTGGCCAGCTCAGTACGTCGTACGGACCTGGCATTTACAGTTCTACTATAAGCTGATGGTCGCTTTAGCGACCATCAGCTTATAGTAGAACTGTTCAGCAGACTGTCCCCTTTAAATTAATAGCTGTCATCAGCGGCTCACAAGCCGC